AAATGACTAAAAACACACTGTGAAATACCCAACCTGTCACACTATACAATGCAATAGGTTTGTTTGTTTTAACAAAGTACAGCTACGAGGAGCTTAGGAAAAGCACTGACATATATCGTTGAATGGCGGGAAAACGCTAATTGTAGAATGATGAGTATGCTAAAATACCATTTATGAAAAACCAACAAATAAATAGAACTATAAAACAATGCCACATGTTTTATGTGGGTACATATCCTTGTGTAAAAATCCATAAGAATGGCTCACACCTGTAATCAATCCCAGCACTTTGGGAGGCCGAGGGGGGCAGATCACAAGGTCAGGAGTTCAAGACTAGCCTGACCAACATGATGAAACCCCATATCTACTAAAAATACAAAAATTAGCTGGGTGTGGTGCCATGCACCTGTAATTCCAGCTATTCGGGAGGCGGAGGCAGGAGAATCCCTTGAACCTGGAGGTTGCAGTGAGCCAAGATAGTGCCACTGCACTCCAGCCTGGGCAACAAACTGAGACTCTGTCACAAAAAAAAAAAAAAAAAAATCCATAAGAAAAAGATTTTGGAATCAAAGGTATCAAACTGAAAAAGGCAGTTCTGTTGGAGGGAGGAGACTGGGGGTTTGGGAGGAAGAGTCTCAAAAATAACTTTTATGTGTAATGTATTTATTTTTTCAATCCTAATATAATTATTATTTGTATAATTACAAACAAACCAATAAGCAAAACAGGCTACATTAATTAGACCTCAAAACTCTTGAAAAAGTGACTACAATCTATTGTAGAAGCAAGCAGACTCATAATCAGTATCTTCCACCTACAGAAAATTCTGAAACATGACAGTCTTCCTCTACCCCCATAAAATGTGAGAATCCCTTTCTAAAAATTGCCTGCCACTAAGGCTTGTTGTCTGCTAATAAAACCAAGCAGTGCAAGCAAAGCAATAATCTGGAATCTAAAATTGCAGTGAACACTATACACCCACCACCTGCAAGCTACAGTTAACACTGTACGATTCCTGCTTTTTCACATGCGATCACTGACATGTAAAACTCCACTTCTCTCAATATACATTGTCTGCTTTGATTTGATCTTTGCTGAGCTATAGGCTATTCCATGTGAGGAAAACAACTGATGGTTGAGGACAGAGTTCAGGTACTCCAAGACCTGGCCTTTGCTTTCTATTTCAACCATTTGATGACTGAGGTCAGAGAGGAGACAACGTTCTCACACTGAGGTTATTAAATACATTTCTAAAGATAAAAAGTATATAAAATACTTTTTAAGTCTGTAGTTAAATTATTTTCCCCTTCGGGAAAAGGGAAAAATAAAACTGGAGTCTTAATTTAATTACATTAAAAAAAAAAAGATTACGATGATAATGAGTCAGAAAGCTGACTAAGCCACTAATCAAAGACAGAGACACAAATACAATTAGTGTTTTGAGCAAGTTGCTCTGAGGATTCTTGGCTAATCCTGAGACATCCAGAGGCCTCACATGGGGAGCCTCATGCCGCCTTGACGTGGGAAGGCACTTCCTGCCACTGCTCTCTGTTTTCGTGTAGCTCAGGTTAAGACCATGCAAAATAAACAACGGAATTTTGCCCGGGTGTCACATTCCCTTCCAGGAGGAAATGACCACACTCATTTTTCAGCTCCTCTATTTGGAGTATATTTTCTGGTATTTTAATTTTTAAATCCCCTATCCCCTCTCCTGCCTTTTAAGAAAATTACTTGTGTTTTCTGACCTCTGAGACCCAAAGCTATTCCTTTTGAAGGCCTCTTTTTGATTCAGGAAATTTGCACGAACAGCAAAGAAAAAATTGTACTTGTGCAAAACACATCTGTCCTCATGTAGAGAATGTCTGGAAGAACGGCAGTATCTCAAGGTAGTAGGATTGCTCGTGATTAATTTCTTTTTACTTTTCTGTATTATTTAATTTTGAATATAGAGAATAGTTTATTTTTACAATAAAAAGAACATTTTCATGTTGGAACAACAACAAAAAATGTGGGGAGGGAATAAGGGATGAAATAATTGGAACAGAAAAAAACGAGAACAGAAAAAATAAGATGTGCCAGGACTGAGGTTAACAGTCAAACTCCTCATGGACTCAATTGTCCTACTCCAAATCCATTCCCCTGCCAGGCCACCCTCCCTTCTGGCCTGCACCTCTAGGGACGCCTCCTGTCTGGTCCTTCTGCCTGCTCTTGCTTCTCAATAATCCGTCTCTACAGAACAGCCAGAGTGTTTACATGAAATGAAAATCCGATTCATTATTCCGTCCATGTATAACCTTCAGTGACTTCCAGTTGCATACGGATAAAAACCCAAGCTCTTTATCCCACTCAAGGTCCGGCCCCTCCTGCCCTAGATCCTTCTCCTGCCCATTTTCCTTTTGCTCACTTTGTTGATCATTCCTGGAACGCCTTCCTGCCTCAGGGCGATTGTCCTTGCTGTTGCCTATGCTTTTCCCTCAGCTCCTCACATGGTCAGCCCCCCCTCCTCCAGCGTCCCCAGGAATCTGCATTTTAAATATGCATTTCACATGATGTTCATGCACACTCACATCTCACAGCTCCTGGATTTGGGTGAGGGTTTAAGGGGAAGGGCATTCAAGAACCAACATCTGACAGATAGATGCCTGGAGCATAGCTATTCTCTCTCAGCCTTTTGTGAGACAAGGGAAGTCCCCTGGACCAAGATGCTCCTCAAGAAGGACCTGGGTATGGTATGTCAGCTCACAGAAGGATGGTGTTACAGGTCTCAAAGTGCCCCACAAAGGCCAGAAGGGCCAACATTTTAGCTAGGAAGAGTTTTATTTCTTTTAAATGTATATAGAGACAAGATCTCATCATTTTGTCACCCAGGCTGGAGTGCAGTGGCACAATCGCGGCTCACTGCAGCCTCCACATTCTAGCTTCAAGCAATCCTCCCACCTCAGCCTCCCAAGTAGCTCGACTACAGGTGCATGCCACCATGCCCAGCTAATTTTTATATTGTCTGTACAGATTGGGCTTTGTCATGTGTCCATTCTGGTCTTGAACTCCTGGGCTCAAGTAATCCACTTGCCTCAGCCTTCCAAAATGTTAGGATTATAGGCATGGGTCACCAAGCCTGGCCCAGGAAGATTTTTCATGGTGACCATTATTTATCTATCTATTAGTAAGCTAAACATAAAGTAACTATAACAAATCAGATCTTCCTTTAAGATGGGGTTTGGGGACTTAGATATATTCAGATATTGACTGCCTGAGAGCTAGTCACCCTGGAAGGCTCACACAGGACAAACAAATTATCTGGGACAAATTAAAATGTCCCATTGGAAGGTACTGGAAGCGTAAGCAAACACTGAGCTGACACTACAGGCAAGTTCCTATGCTAGAAGTGTGAGGGGGAAGCAAGACAGTGAGCCCACGTCTGCCCAGACTGCCCATGAGGGCTTACAGCCCCTCGACAGAGCTTGCCATGGGGCAAAGTAGATCGAGTACAGTAGTTTTACTGTTCATTGTTTTCGAGGAGTTTCTCTATTCCTACCTGGTAGGCACGTGGTAAGGATAAGCAGAAATGAGAACTTCACAAAGAGGCCGTGACAAGGACAAGTGGCAAAGAGCCATGACTTTGTTGTCAGCCTCTCCTCTCTGTGAGTTCTTTTAGGAACCCCTGTCTTCCTCCCTGTAATTCTAGGGGTCTGCCAATCAAGGCGTCCCTGTACCAGCCAACCCTCTTTAGAATTGATTCTCCAACCCCAGGAGCTAGGTCAATCAGAGTCGTCCCTGAGACTTCTTTGCCAGACTCAGATGCAGGCTCCCTGTCTTCCTGGTTTCCCAAATTGGCCAGAGATGAGCCTTCTGTTGTCCAGTTGCATCACACCCACCCAGTAGAGAAAGCTGAGAGTTGCTTGAACCCAGGAGGCAGAAGTTGCAGTGAGCCAAGATCATTCCACTGCAATCCAGCCTGGGCGACAGAGTGAGACTTTGTCTCAATAAATAAATAAATAAATAAATAAATAAAGGAAGCCAACTAACTAGAGTTCAATAGTTCAAAAACTATTGCTTATAGTTCTTTATCTTTAGTCTGAAGGTATATAGCAGAAACACAGTATGCGAAAGTCTCTTGGGTTGGTTCTCCCACACCCTGCCCTACTTCAGTACTTTTGCATCATTTTTCATTATTCATTTTAATTCTCTTTCCTCAGCCTCCTGAGTAACTGAGATTACAGGCATCCACCACTACACCCAGCTAATTTTTGTATTCTTAGTAGAGATGGTGTTTCACCATGCTGGTCAGGCTGGTCTTGAACTGCTGCCCTCAGGTGATCCGCTCACCTTGACCTCACAAGTGCTTGGATTACAGGCGTGAGCCACCGTGCCCGGCAATCCTGATAAGTTGTATCGCCAGATGAAAAGTTAAACGCATATGTGATTTTCTTAGACGTTATGAGAGTTCCTTCATATGACTTCTAGCAATTTGCATACGCACCAGCAACATATGAAAGTGTCTGTTTTCCCACAGACTTACCAGTTGACTGCTTTGTCAAACTTTAAAATTTTTGCTAATGTGGCAGGTAAGAAATGATATCTCAGTGCAGTTTTTAAAAAATGTATATAGGCCGGATGTGGTGGCTCACACCTGTAATCCCAGCATGTTGGAAGGCTGAAGAGGGCAGATCACCTGAGATCAGGGGTTCAAGACCAGCCTGGCCAAGATGATGAAACCCTGTCTTTACTAAAAATACAAAAATTAGCTGAGTGTGGTGACAGGCGCCTATAATCCCAGCTAGTCAAGAGGCTGAGGCAGGAGAATCACTTGAACCTGGAAGGCGGAGGTTGCAGTGAGCCGAGACCGTGCCATTGCACTCCAGCCTGGGCAACAGAGAAAGACTTTATCTTTAAAAAAAAAAAAAAAAGCCCTTTTCTGTTAAGCGAGAGCTGTGAGAGGCAAGGGTTTCAGACACCATTTATCGTTTTCATCATATAGATAGAACAGCCATGCTGCAAAGATGGTCAACACACCTAAAACCCAAAGAACTTTCTGTAAGAAGTGTGGCAAGCATCAGCCTCACAAAGTGGCACAATATAAGAAGGGCAAGGATTCCTTGTATGCCCAGGGAAAGAGGCACTATGATCAGAAGCAGAGTGGCTGTGGTGGGCAGACAAAGCCAATTTTTTTCCAGAAGAAGGCTAAGACCACAGAGAAGATTGTGCTAAGGCTGGAATGTGTTGAGCCTAACTGCAGATCCAAGAGGATGCTGGCCATTAAGAGATGCAAGCATTCTGAACTGGGAAGAGGTAAGAAGAGAAAGGGCCAAGTGATCCAGTTCTAAACTTAGGGATATTTTTCTTTTAATTTTGAAGAGAAAAATGTTAAAGCCATAGAAAAATTACCTGTAGGAAAATAAATACAGTGGTATTCTTAAAAACAACAACAACGACAACAACAAAAAACTGTATACGTATAAACAAACTATTTTTTGGTGCACAGTTCCATGAATTTTATGTGTATAGATTCATGTAACCACAGTCAGGACACAGAACAACGACTTCATCCTTCCCCAAAATTCCCTCAGGCTGATGTTTTTGTAGTCACATACCTCCCCACTCATGAATCCTGCACAACACAGATCTGTTCTTCACCCCTATAGCTAGGACTTGTTCAGTGTCATAGACATGTAGGAGTTCTGGACTTGTATAGAATGTAACCTTTTGAGACCTGCTTCTTTCACTCAGCATACCTTTGACATTTATCCATGTTGTCATGTGAGCCAGTAGTTTTTCTTTTTTTTGAGATGGACTCTTGCTTTGTCACCGTGGCTGGAGTGCAGTGGCTGGATCTTGGCTCACTGTAATCTCTGACTCTTGGGCTCAAGCAATTGTCCTGCCTCAGCCTCCTGAGTAGCTGGGATTATAGGCGCCGGCCACCACACCCAGCTAATCTACGTGGGTTTCACCACGTAGACCGGGCTAGTCCTGAACTCCTGACCTCAGGTGATCTGCCTGCCTTGGCCTCCAAAAGAGTTGAGATTACAAGTGTGGCCGGGCGCGGTGGCTCAAGCCTGTAATCCCAGCACTTTGGGAGGCCGAGGCGGGTGGATCACAAGGTTGAGAGTTCGAGACCATCCTGGTGGACATGGTGAAACCCCGTCTCTACTAAAAATACAAAAAATCAGCTGGGCATGGTGGCGTGTGCCTGTAATCCCAGCTACTCAGGAGGCTGAGGCAGGAGAATTGCCTGAACCCAGGAGGCGGAGGTTGCGGTGAGCCGAGATCGCGCCATTGCACTCCAGCCCGGGTAACAAGAGCGAAACTCCGTCTCAAAAAAAAAAAAAAAAAAAAAAAGAGAGAGATTACAAGTGTGAGCCACTGTACTGGCCTTTTTTTTTTTTTCTGAGTAGCATCTCATTATTTGGATGTATGACAGTTTATAAATGCACTTACCTGTTGTTTCCAGTTTTTGCTGATTATGAATGGAACTGATTATAAACATCTGGGTAGAGTTTTGAAGGTAAATACCTAGCAGTGGGATTACTGAGTCATATGGTAAACATATGTTTAACTGTATAACAAACTGCCAAACTGTCTTCCAGAATGGTTGTGCCATTTTGCATTCCTACCAGCAACTGAAGAGAGTTCTGGTTGTTTCACATTCTTGCCTATACTTGCTACTATCAGCTTTTACTCCCTTCTCCCTAGCCATTCTCTTTTTTTTTTTTTTTTTTTTTTTTTTTTTTTTTACTGGTTATTGCATCTTCCAGAAGATCGAATTGTTATAATTACATTACGTGTTATAATAATATTCAAATAGCTCCCAGTGTTTGGCGGACACTTATCTGTATATTCTCAAGGGTTTCCTTCTTTTTTTTTTCTGTCTCCAAATACTTTAAGTAGCCATATGTGGGAATATTGGAGAGTCCTTCGAAAGGGCAGTTTCTGGATCTATTAGACACATAACATCAAATTAAGATAACATATGGAAAGACTGTCCTTATATGTATGACCCTAAGAAAACCACTTTCATTGTCAACTGAGTTACATTTTTATCAAATGAGGAGAGATTAATTATCAACATTTTTCTCAGTGATTAAGGGCAAAACTAGAATATGACATTTTAAGTGTAAGAGCTGAAATTTACTTTTTTCTTTATGTGCAGATAAAAAGAACTTTTTTTATCCCCACATTTAGAAATCAAATCAAAACAAACAAACAAAAAAACCTCAGTTCTATTCTTTTTTTTTTTTTTTTTTTTTTGAGAGAAAGAGAAAGGGGGAGAGAGAACAGGAGTCAGCCAAGGCTGGAATGCAGTCTAAAAATAGGTATTAAAAACCTCTTTTATGCCAATAATTGTGTTTCACAGAGAAGACAGGAAGGAATAAGGGAAGAAAATAACAGACAGCCAACCAATATTTCATTGAAGTCTGTGAAATGCTATGCAAATGCTGAAGAGTGATTTACTTCCAATTATGTGGTCACTTTAAAATAGGTGTAATATAATACTAAGAAAAATGTATGTTCTGTGGACCTGGAGTGAAGAATTCTATAAATATTCACTGAGTTTACTTGTTTCGTGTCTGAGTTCAAATCATAGATGTCCCTGTTAATTTTCTATCTCATTGATCCATCGAATATTAACAATGTGGTGTCAAAGTCTCCCACTATTATTGTGCGGGAGTTCAAGTCTCTTTATAAGTCATTAAGAACTTGTCTTATGTATCTGGGTGTTCCTATATTGGGTGCATATATATTTACGATCATTGACTCCTGTTGTTGCATTGATCCTTTTACCATTATGTAATGTCCTTCTTTGTTTCTTTTAGTCTTTGTTACTATTAAAGTCTATTTTGTCAGAGACGAAAGTTACAACTCCTGTTTCCTTTCTTTCTTTCTTTTTTTTTTTTTCTCTCCATTCAATTGGTGAGTCTTCCACCAACCCTTTGTTTCGAGTCTTTGTGTGTCCTTGCTTAAGAGATGGATCTGGATACATCGAACTGATGTTTTTTGACTTTTTATTCAATTTGGCTGTCTGTGCCTTTGATTGGGGCATTCAATCCATTTAAATTTAGGATTAATATTGATATTTGTGAGTTTAATATTGTCGTTTAATGCTAGCTGGCTATTTTGCCCATTAGTTGATATAGATTCTTCATTATGGAGATACTCTTTACCTTTTGGTAAGTTTTTGGGATGACTGATACTGGTTGTTCCTTTCTGTGTGTAGTGGTTCTTTCAGAAGCTCTTGTAAAGCAGGCCTGGTGGTGATGAAATCTCTGAGTGCTTGCTTGTTCGTGAAAAATTTTATTTTTCCTTCATTTATGAAGCTTAATTTGGCTGGATATGAGATTCTGGGTTGAAAATTCTTTTCTCTGAGGATATTGAATATTGACCCCTACTCTCTTCTAGTTTGTAGGGTTGCAGCTGAGAGATCTGCTGTGAGTCTGATAGGCTTCCCTTTACGGGTAACCTGACCTTTCTCTCTAGCTGCCCTTAGAATTTTCTCCTTTATTTCAACCCTGGTGAATCTAACGATTATGTGTCTTGGGGTTGCTCTACTTGAGGAATATCTTTGTGGTGTTCTCTGTATTACCCAAAGTTGAGTATTGTACTGCCTTACTAGGTTAGGAAAGTTTTCCTGAATAATATCCTGAAGAATATTTTCCAGCTTGTATTCATTCTCTTCATGACATTCAGGTACACCTATCAAACGTAAATTAGGTCTTTTCACATAGTCCAATATTTCTTGGAGACTTTGCTCATTCCTTTTTACTCTTTCTTCTCTAATCTTGTCTTCTCATTTCCTTTCATTAAGTTGGTCTTTGACCTCTGATATCCTTTCTTCTGCTTAATCAATTCGACAGTTAAAACCTGTGCATACATCGTGGAGTTCTCGTATTGTATTCTTCAGTTCCAGTAATTCATTTATATTCCTCTCTAGATTGTCTATTCTCCTGAGGATTTCATCAAACCTTTTTCAAGGTTCTTAGTTTCTTTACATTGGGCTAGAACATATTCTTTTAACTCACAGAAGTTTCTTATTATCCACCTTCTGAAGCCTAAATCTGTTAATGGAACGCACTCATTCTCCATCAGGCCTTGTTCCCTTGTTGATGAGGAACTGCGATCCCCTGTAGAGGGAGAGGCATTCTGATTTTGGGTTTTCTCAGCCTTTTTATGCTGGTTTCTTCCCATCATTGTAAATTTATCCACCTGTCGTCTTTGTAATTACTGACTTTCAAATTAGGTCTCTGAGTGGACGTCCAACTTGTTGATTCCCAGCGCCAGAATCTGAGCAACCCACTGCGCCGGCCAAAACAGCGGCGTTAAGATTTGTGGTGCTTTTCTGCCTGGGAATCTCCAGTCTGGCTTCCTTCTTGAGTCCCTTTTTCAATCAGCTGCATAGGCGACTCTGCCTTCCTGGAGCTCCAAACGTCGACCAAAAGGGGTCCCAGTCCCGTTTACTCTGCACTGAGAACCGCGGCTCCGGGAAGCCGGCAAAACCACCTCTCCGGCCACAAGAGTCGTGCTGGCGATCCATGGGGCTCCTCCGCTGGAAAGCTGGTCCGTGAGCAACAGAAATTCGTCTGAAAGTGTGGTGTCCTCGTTCTCTGCACTTTCACTGGGAGCTACTATCCTGAGCTGCTAGTAATCAGCCATCTTGGATCTCTTTCTCCTCCCTAGCCATTCTCATAGGTATGTGGTGGTATTTCATTGTGATTTAATTTGCATTTTCCTAGTAGTTAATAATGTTGAACATCTTTTCATGAACTTATTATCTGTATATCTTTTTAAATAAGGTGTCTGCTCAAAATTTAGTTCAAATTTATTTGGTTTACTTTCTGAATGAAGTGTGTGTGTGTGTGTGTGTGTGTGTGTGTGTGTGTGATGGTGGGAGGGATGGGGGCAGTTTGAGACAAGGTCTTGCTCTGTCACCAAGACTGAAGTGCAGTGGTGCAATCATAACTCACTGAAACCTCTACCTCTTGGGCTCAAGTGATCCTCCTGCCTCAGCCTCCTTTATAATTGGGACCACAGCTACCTGCCACCACACCTGGCTACTTTTTAAGTTTTTTGTAGAGACAGGATCTTACTTTCTTGCCCAGGCTGGTCTTGAACTCCTGGTATAAGAGATCTGCTCTCCTCAACCTCTCAAAATGTTGGAATTATAGGCATGAGTCACTGTAACTGGCCTGCAATTGTATTCTGCACTGTATATATTCTGGATACAAGTCATTTGTCAGATATACCATTGGCAAATATTTTCTAGTTTATATTTTGTTTTTCATTCTATTAACAGTATCTTTCAAAGAGCAAAAAGTTTCCTATTTTAGTGAAA